TGATCGCTCTGTCTCTGGCTCTCTGTGTCTTGATTTTCCTTAGGCTCCATTACTACTCCCTCTCTGATTCCGACGACCTCATCACTGCTTCCAAAGCATTACTCTCCGTTTCTTACAAACCGCATCGCCATCTCGCCGAAAATTTCTCTGGAAATCCGAAGGTTTCTTTCCTGTTTCTAACTCGAAGCAGCTTGCCTCTCGATTTCGTCTGGAGAAGCTTCTTTCAGGTCTGCGGATTTCGCTTTTGTCGGGAATTGTAATTAAAGTTGTTAACTTTGGGGAAAGTTCTTCTACATTGTAGATTGTTTTCATTTCCCACTTCGCCTTATTTCTATGTTTTGAGAAAGTAATGATTTGGCATAAAAAATTGATCTGATCTTCTTGATGCTCACAGATTGCTGATCCTGCCAATTTCTCAATATATATACACTCCAAACCAGGATTTTCATTTGATCATTCTACAACAAGTTCCCCATTCTTTTACAACCGACAGCTCAATAACAGCATCCTGGTAAGTTCTTGAGTTCATTGATTGCTCAACAGATCCAACTTACATGATTTTGGACTTGGAAATTGAAAGAATTTTAAATGTGTTCCTAGTTCATGCTCAGCTTCAATGGAGAAGATTTAACATATAAAGATTAAAGAATTCTGATTTGCATTACAAAGTAATACGATTTCATTAACTCACTGTATTTACGAATTCCTGTTGGTTCCAAATCATCTGCTCAATATCTTAAAATTGATGGAGAAAATTGTGTAGTCCGGCTGTTTTAACCTGTTAGTGGACTAACATTGAGAGAACGTGCAGGTAGCTTGGGGAGAATCAAGCATGATTGAAGCAGAGAGGTTATTACTTGCAGCAGCTCTTGAGGATCCAGCTAATCAAAGATTTGTTCTCTTATCAGACAGGTTGGTACTTTTTGCTTTTGAAAACATCAGATAGAAATAAAAGTAATTGACAAAAGAATATCAAAGAAGAAGAAAATGACATCAGGAACTGACCAAAGATGTGCTTGCAGCTCATGAGTTTCAGTATATTTCCTTTATTAATTATTAAACCCATGAGTGAGAAAAGTTGAACACATACATCAAATTCTTATGCAATATGCTGCGGATGATGTTTTACAACATGTTGTTCCATCTGGATGCTATGAATACCTACTTTATATTTATCCATCAGATTTTGCTCAAGGACGTAAACATGTTGTACGCAGAGGTGTACAAGTACACACCATATTCTCAGTGACTTGCGGTGTTTGTGGAAGATATGTAATTGCTGCATTTTTCAAAACAAACTAAAGCTTAAAACATGTACTCAAGAAAGTCTTGTTTTCAAGTCTTCCAGAGGGCAGAGACATACATTTCATATGTGCATGAAATTTTTTTGTCTTCGAGAGATTCCAACGGACACCACATGTGCGAGTATTAGTTACGTTTGTAGTCTTGTACACCTTGGTGTACAACATGTTGTACCTTAAGCACAATCTAAGTAGTACAGAAATGCGAAACGGGAAACACGAGAAATGTGATTTCTAAAAAATATAGGATATGAAATGTGGAGGAAACGCGTAAATGTAAAAATATAAGAATATATTTATAAATATTTTTTAATATATACACACAAGTTTTTTCATATAACTTGCTTAATGACCCAATAATACAAACATTATACATTCTAAAATTTAGAAATCATTACATGTTAGTACATAATGAAACATAAAATACAATACTTTCTAGCAGTGCATTGTGTTATGAAATGTCAGTGTTGCTAAGAAGAATTACCACAAAATTTGACTAAAGATTTTTAAAAAGACACTGTTTTCCATTATAGTCTCTTAAAAGGAAAAAAATGCAAATCCATGATTTCCGAGATGCTAATTAATTAGGGAAATGGGTTCCCCAAATCTTCTTAATTATGAAAAACGGCCCCAAATGGGAATTCAAAGTTTCCGGGTTTTTGACACACTTCAGAGTGTCCAAAACAGGGAAGCGTGAGGCATGGGGAGTTTCTGTGCTTCATAGAGTAAAATCCCTTTCCATCACCCATAAGCTAAAAAAATTGGATACATTTCTGGAAGGCAGGCAGTTCTTACTTTGAATCTATTATGTTTCTGTTGTTCCATTCAACTTCCCCCATCCTATGCTTGAGTTCTTCACCAGCCCATAAAAACTCAAAGAAACAAGTCAGTGATTCTGGATTTTTTTGTTTACAAAAAAATGAAGGAGTATTTCAGAGGAAGGCCTCGAAGGGAGTTTTTACTCATTTGCAGATCAAATAACTATGTGATGCCATATTTAATTTATCAACATTGAACATACTTTTTATCAGTTTGCGAATATTACTATGTGCGTAGTATTACTTTGTGTGTATTTGTTAATTGTTACCCAGTTTATTATCTATGAGTTTTTTAGTAACCCAGTTTTTAAATTCGTTACACATTTTACTCTCTATATTTGCAGTTGTGTACCTTTATACAACTTCAGCTATGTATACAACTACTTAATGTCTTCTCCCAAGAGTTTTGTGGACAGGTAAGAAAATGACAAGATTTGCTGTTAGTTAGATCCCTGAAAAATAAGATTTAATCGTTTATTGTCTGTGTGATTATGTTTTTAGTTTTTTGGATGTAAGTGGAAAAGACAACCGGTACAACCCAAAGATGAAACCATATATACCAAAGAGCAAATGGAGGAAAGGATCCCAGGTAGAGTTTTGCAATCCACTTATTAAGTTATTACGTTATTGAATTTATGATTGTAATGTGCACACTTTTTATTCCAGTGGATCGCTTTGGTTCGAGAACATGCAGAGATTGTTGCAGATGATAAAATTGTATTACCAGTTTTCAGAAAGTATTGTAAGGTACATGATGCATTAGTCTTTTTCTATGACAGTCTGAACTGATAATTGCTGATCTCATCGTGATTACTATGTTTTTATGACTGACATTATAACCTTTTCACCCTTTAGAGGCGTCCACCAATAGAGGCCAGTTTGAAGAGTCGGAATCTTGTAAGTTATTGTCTTTTCCTTCCGGTAGATGCTTTAGTGTTCTTCTTTTTATTACTCTGAGTCGGCTTTGATGGCTTTGATTTTCGATTGTTTTTTTTGTTATAATGTTTTGTATCATAGAAACACAAATTTCGTCTAAATCTTTCAGTTTGTCTCCTAACTGATAGTAATCTTGCAGAACCTTCAAAAGCAGCACAACTGTATCCCTGATGAACACTATGTCCAGACATTACTTGAAGTAAGTAACCATTAACAAATGCCTATTAATTCTTCCTTTGTCTCATAAAAGAGTTGTTTGTAACACTGATCTCAGTATTACAAACATGACAGTTTAATGGGACAGATAGAGTAGAAAATTAAGTACTTTTTCCAGGAAGTTTATTACGTAGTATGTCTTTTCTGGTGATAAATATTGTGATGAAATTCTTTTTATGTAATTTTTAATCTGTTTGATATTTCCCACGGAATATATATGGTATGCTTGGATTTCTCTAAATGCTAGGGAAAAGGAAAAGAAAAGACAATTTACTGTCTTATGCTTGGTTTTATGATGGAAAACATGTAAGATAATGAAATGTGATTAGTTTGTAATTTTTAAAGTATATTTTGTTTTGCAAGTCTGATCATAAAAGTAAACAAAGAAATACTTTTGAAAAAATGTTGGAAACAAATTTATTGGGTTTGAGCCCATGTTATCATTCTAACAAACTTCCCTTCATTCCAATGTTACTCTATTTTCTTTCCCCGGTAGTTTGGGGTTCCAAGTGGGACCTATGGAGGTCATTATCGTGTTTTCATGGTGTTTTCGTGGTCACACCAATCGAACCTCTTTTGATTCTTCTTTATTGTGTATAGATGCATGGTGTTGGAGCTGAACTGGAGCGGAGAACAATAACTTACACAGTATGGAACCAATCAACATCAAATATGGAAAAGGGGGCCTGGCACCCCAAAAGATTTACTTATTCAGATGCAGAACCTGAAAAAATCAATAAAATAAAGGTACTTGTGTATGTTTAACTGGCCTCGGCCTAAAAAACACCCCAAAAGAAAGCATAGTCATTGTGTTTTTTGTGCAAGCACATGGATTTATGGTTTGACTAATTTTGAACAGGACATCAGATATGTGTACTACAAGACAGAGGCCCGAACAGAGTGGTGTAGTAACAATTCAACACGGGTCCCATGCTTTCTATTTGCAAGGAAGTTTTCACGGGCCGCTGGGATGCGCCTTTTGAGCGTAGTGGGTGGCTCGCTTGAGGGGTCCGCTGCTTCCAAGGAGCCTCCACCATGATTTTTTTTCCATGATGGCCTGTGTTCCTAAATCCCATTTGCACATGGTTCAGTGCACATGAGATTCACACAACAGTTTCTGTTCCACCAACATGGGCTATGGACAAAGTGAGGACATTTTGGTCGTGGCAGAATATACAGAGGGATGACATGAATAGGTGTGTTATTAGGTAGCATGATTGAGTAGGAGTGAATCACTTGTATTGTATGATTAATACTATTATAGTATAATAGTAGTAATTCAAGAAAGGTTGTTATTCTTACTGTAGTTGCAATAAACAGAGGGTTTCCTTGAATTCACCTCTTCTAGGTGAAATTACCTTTTGAGATATGCCACCTCAATCGTCAGTCTACTGGACGTCACTAACTTTATTGTTTTAGTTCTTCTAAAAACTTTAATACTCTCTCTTTAAAGTAATTAATTTTTTTTTATATCTCCCCTAAATGGCTTTTACTGTTCTTATTCCATGTGCTGATGTGCGGAATAAATTTGCTAAACTCCAATGGAGCAGAAAGAGTACTCCGTATATAGTAATGGCTATTCAGAATAGCTATGACTTTCAAAGTATCACTAATTTAGTTGTGAATATCCTTAAAGTTTAGAGTAAGCATTGTTCAAGTTTAGGATGAATAGGATCCAAGGAATTCGTTATCATGTGAAAATTATGAAATTCAAAGACAAAATACGCTGTTATAACTTATGAACAATAAATAGAAACAAGTCAGGCAATTTAGAATTTAAAAGAAATGGGTAATATTATCACGTTAGCACCAGGCCTCGGAACGACCAAAGCCCCATTCTGAACTGTGTTCTTTATGGCCAAAAAACGAACACAAATAATTTTGCCAAACCGTTTCATGTCTCAAATGACAAAAAATGCAAATCTACTAGAAAAACAGGGGATCTATAAGTCAGTGACAGCCATAGTTACTGAATGTTCTCCTTCAAGAGCAGCTTTGAAATTTTGAATGTTAGCAGCCAAGTGGCTTTCTTTCCATCCTTTTTGCCGAGCCCGGAGCTCCCACATTGAACTAACCTCTCTTTGTGCCTCTAACACCGCTTCAGCTTTTTCGCGCGCTTCCTCGCACGTTTCCATCCCTGAAGTGCACTTTTCTGCCTCTTTTTGGTACTGGGAAGTCAACTTCTTCGCTTCTAGAAGTGCCTGCTCTGCCTTCTGTTGTATTTCATGCACTTCGCCTTCCCGTTTGTGAAGTTCCTCAACCAATTGTCTTGTGAAATTCCTCTCTGCTCCCTCCCTCACCTCCGTCTGATCATGCTCCATGCAATCTATATATGAACAAAAAAGTATTCATGCATACTCCCAATTCCCATGCAAAAGATATAAGGATTTTCCCCATCCAAACGTAGAAGATATTTAACTATCAATCTATAGAGCTCGAATGATTGAAAAGTATCAATTAAAGATTTAATACACCATAAACCTGGAGTATAATTTCTTTAAATATTTACGGACTACTTATTTTTATGCTAAGTTTCCCATAAAAATAAAAATAATTTAGTTACCTGGAGAAGACTTAGCTACCTGGAGGAAACTTAATATATAGAAATGAAGACTGACCTATGAAAGAAGTGGCATTCAGTAAACCTGCATGACATGCAGAAAGTAGATGAAAGTGGAGGCTATATGTCAATTACAGATCCAGATCAGATAATAATATAAAATCAATATGTAAAAGTTATATTATGTACCATTTTGGTGGGAAAGGAGAGGTTTAAGAGTGCAATCACATAGACAAAGAGGGCAAGAAGTGGCGGCGGCGTCGGAGAGAAGCCAATAGAGAGGCGGTCCGATGAGATAACCAGCAATAATGCAGACACCCATCACTGATGCGGTTGCCACCGTCGTGGGGCTCCTCCATGTTTTGCCGCCGCCGCCGTTATTTCTTCCATGTTTATGATGATGATGATGATGAGAATTCATCTCGATCTGGATCTTTCTTTGTTTCTATGATCACCCACGTACACACAATACATGTTTCATTTAGCTCCTGTTGATCTTCCAGATTGAATTGCCTAGTTTTGTGTTAGGATGGCGTGATGATAACCGTGTAATCTTAACTCTAGCCGATACCTTGCTTTACTCCTTTACCTTTTCTTTTCTTTAATTATAATACAAAAATTTGCAAATGTAGTCCGATCCTTTCGTTTTACTCTCACTGGAGACTATATGCTCGAAACTATAGTTAGACATCCATGTTTAACTTTGTCCTATTTTACCTTTTCGGAAAGTCTCACAAAGATTGTCCCACACCAAATTTGGTAAAGTTTGTGTGGCTCTAAATCATTCTTACTTTATTCTTACTTTATCAATTTAAGATCAACCACACAAACTCACTTTTCCTAATAATCGTGTCACCTTCTCTTGTAGCAATCTAAGTGGGACGGGGTAGTGTATTATAAGAGAATCCAATGGTACCGATGAACCCTCCTGATTCCTGAAATATAACAAAAGTTGATCCAAAATGGTATATGTGCTGTGTGTTTTTGGGAAATTAGCGGTTCTTTTATTTTTGAAAGAACAATCACTACAAAAAATAAGCCATTTGTCAAGGATTTCTTCACTTTGTCAAAAAATTCTTGACAAATGTTTTTGTCACGGATTTGTTCCTTAATGCCACAGCCTATGGCGGAGCCAGAAAAAAGCTCAGGGAATCGAAATCCGACTAAATACAGAATAAAATGAGCAAGCCGTTTAATTTTTAACGATACCTGAATTGAATCTTTCATATATAACTTAGATAAATGAAATGTAAATGAGGCTTCATGTAAGTAATGAGTGAATAATATATATATATATATATTTATATACGGAAAAGATCCTGTCCAGCCGGAGGGACAGGATCCTCCGTCCGGCCGCCGCCGTTTAGGGCGGTTCCCGGTAGAGTTTTTTGATGAAATTTTTATGGAATGTTCCTCATCAAGTCTAGTTTATCCACAAAAAATTTCATGGGAAACTTAGCATAAAAATGTAACTAAATTTGATTAAATTATTTTTGTGGGAAACTTAGCATAAAAATGTAACTAAATTTGATTAAAAATAATTTTGTAACTAAATTTTTATGCTAAGTTTCCCATAAAGTTTTCCATAAATTCTTGAAGCTTACTGCACATTCTGCGCATTTATAAAGTAGACTAAAATAAGTAGTATTTTACTGCACATTCTGCGCAATTATAAAATGTAACTAAATTTGATGTGAGTACGCTTTTATAGTCACTTGTGGGGATTATAATGTAACTAAATTTTCTATGAGTACCCCTAATGAGCTATCTCTTTCCATAATTCAGCAGATTTAGTCAATTCAATCACAATTTCATCAATTTCGATATATTTAAACAATTTTAGTTTTACCAATCGGATTCAAAATAACATTTTAAATAAAGATGTCTAATACTATCGTATATGTTAGTTTTGTAAATGTAAAACAGGCTTATAGTTTATAAATGTCACATGATCTATTAAAGTTGCTCAATGAGAGTGATATGATACATAATCGTAAGAAATACGTATTATAAATTTATGATAGTTTTTTGAGAAAATTGGGTGTATGTACACGTCTTAATTTGTGCCTTTAAGTTAATATCATGATTTATCAAAAATAAACTAAATAGCCTTTATCGAAATGCACGGGCATATTGCGTTCATTATAACTGTAAATGTAATTTCCTTCTTCAAACGCTAGTCTAAAATCACACCTCTAGGGCGAGCACTATTCATTCGTATTTCTCAGTTATTTTCATGTCGGCAACAACATAACCCTAAATCCATTTCAGAGTTAAAAATTTCCACTCAAATTTTTGTTTTGCTATTATAAATTTATAATTTCCAACATGAATTTCTCAAATTTCAAGTTTGTTGAGATCTCCAACACACTTGTGAATTGAACATCTACTGCAATACTATCACCTTTTGGAATACGATAGTGTGAAATGTGAAAGAAATAATATTGTTGAACACTTTTGGATCGGATGATTTGTTGCAGGGCAATACGTGGAGTTCTAGTGCTCTTTAAAAAAATTAATTACTGCTTATTTTTCTTTTGCACTCTAGAGTGGCAGAGGAGAAGTGGTCTTGTTTCTACATTGTTCTCTCAACTTCAATCTCGGCATCTCGCCATTAAGAAAAGAAAATTAACCTGCAGTTAATTAGGAATGAAGGATATATATGATTTATACTTTTATCCGCTTTTTTTGGGTAACTCTTATCGCTTTATATTAATAACAGAAGTGTTATATACTTCATTTAATAAAACAGATGTTACTAACTTCATGCACCCTATTTATTAAGGTTATGCAGCCATTTTCCCCTAGTTTTTTTTTTTTATCATCATCTCCATGATATGATACTACCTCCGTTCTGTACGAAGGTTATCATTGTAAAATGACACGATTATTTGGACAATAATTAAATGTAATAATTCGAGTATATTTTGAGAAATAATTATGATGGATATATAATATATTGGGTTAGTTATTGATGATAATTGTGATGTTATAGATGTATTATTTTTAATATTTAATGATTAAATTATTAATATATTCATGTTAATTGCTAACACGAAAATGATTTCATATCCATATCAAAACTTTCTTTTCAAATAGGATTGAATTCTGATGCTGACTCAAGTTCTAACGAAGAGTCACCTTTCGCTAATGACAGTACTACATAATTTGATTTCGATCAAGGTATTAAAAAATTTAATGCAATTTGGTTCGTATTAATCACTTTGTATTATCAATAAACTCGATTTCTTTTATTCTAGGATATTTGGATATTCTAGATCCAATTTAGTTTCATTATTGAGAGGTTTTCCCTTATTGTTACTTATATTATAAATTAAAGGGAAAAGGTGTGATGGAGTATATGGCCCAGGGACCCCGGCCCACAGACCGGGACACGCCCAAGGCCCAAATACAGCGGCCCAAGTGTCAAGAAGCCCACAATACACACAGGGGTGCCTTCGGCCTCCTTAGCCAAGGGATCCAAATTACACAGGGCAGCCAGATTTAAGCGCACTGAGCTACTGGGAGAAAACGACATAAAACAGTAGCCCTCGGCTACTAGGAGCCTTCGGCACACACATGGTGCCTTCGGCTACGCAACACCCTTCAGCCATATGTCCCTGGCCGCGGGATCTACGCTCCACGAAGCTTCCTCTGGGGACAGGCAACCACCGCATTCAATGCGGCGTCACGTCCAACCACCGCATTTAATGCGGTGCACATGCTTTTGCCGTTGCCACCCCGATTGAGGTGACCCTCGGCCGTCAAATTGTTGACACGTGCACCCTCATCGCATTTATGACTGCTATAAATAGCAGCCCTTATTCTCCTTGTAAAAGACGCATAGTTCATTTAATACAATCGACTCTCTCTCCTACTTGTTTGCTCGGACTTCTCTTTATGTTATTCTCACAATAACCCCTCGGATAAGCTACCCCCAGGTACACTATCCATCAAGGTGCAAATAAACCCTCGAACTAATCGAAAAAATGCAATTCACCCATTTTATAGAGGGCTTTGTCCGGCCATTTGGGGTGGTACCCTCTCAATAATGGCGACGGCCAGACAGAGCCTCCTATAAAAGGGGTGATTTGCACTTTTTCGGTTAGTTCAAGGGTTTATTTGCCCTTTTTTCCTAAATTAAAACATAATTATAATTTCTAAAAGTTAATAAGTCACATTTTATCTACTATCATTATTCTGGTCGTAATTATGAATTATTTCTTTATTTAATATAGAATAATCTGTATCGAGGTTGGAAAAAAGACAACTGTTTAGTAAATCTAAAAAATATGCAATATTGATGTTATATGAAAGAACATAAAAAATATGTATTTTAATACGTTTTATTCGATATCGTGCACTGGATTGTATAATATTCAAAAGATGACTATTCCATGGTCATAAGTCATTTTCTCATCCACCCAACAAGTATGTAATTTTCGATGAAAGGCTTTTCTTTCACCTTCACAATGAGCGATCAATGTTCTTTAATGAAATGATAACCTTGATTCGGTGTTAACAAAAAAAAACTTTTAAAGAATCAATGTTTACATCTTAGATGCAAGAAAAGAAAATCTATACCGAATAAAAAGATTTGACATATGCAAAATTTGTTCCATAATTTATATCTTTTGGATTGGATTTTAAAATTATTAAATTTTCTGTTTTTCTAAGTAAACTAACCATTATCATACCTAACCTATTTTTATGTCCTTTTTTTTACCCTAAGGGGTCGGGGGAGGGTACCTGGGAAAATTTGGGATCAATCTCCCTTCATGTAGTATTGAACCCGAGATCTCTCATAAACGAGAACAAGTTGGTGACCAACTGAGCTGGACAACTTCCTATTTTTATGTCCATTTACTCAAGGTTTTCGGTGTATTGGTAGCTGAACTTTCAAAGCATTATACATCACTAAATAATTTTAAATTTTATATTTGAAATGATTTCTGTTGAAGTCTAGTTTCCAATCTAGCAACCATTTATAATGTAACTAAATTGGATCTCGAAATTAAAATATCATAGAATAAAAGAAATTCAGTTAATTGATAATACAGAGCGATTAATATGAACCAAATTGCATTAAAATTTTCACTACCTTGACCTAAATAAATATATTTAGTACTTCATTAGTGTAAGGTGACTCTTCGTTAAGTTAAAACTTGAGTCAGCATCAGGAGTCAATCCTATTTGAAAAGAAAATTTTGATATGCATATGAAATCATTTTTGTGTTAGCAATTATCACGAAAATATTAATCATTTAATCATTTATATGTTTGAGACTTTTAGGTTGAGCTCACCATGCTTTTGACCTCTTAACTCCTCATACATAAATAAAAATGCAAGTTGTGACATGTTGGGATATAATCATTCGCATTTTATGTCATTTTGTACAACTATTGAAAAACTAATTAACTAATTATATTAATCTAAGTTAGTCTTTAGCCCAGACACATATGAATGTCCATGGATTGTGACCTATCAAACATGAACACTTAAATTATTTGGAGATGTCCATGGGGGTCTACAGCCCGTTTGAGACTTTGTTTTTAGTTTATCAGGGTTAGCGGTCAATTT